TTTTTGGTTATCTAACAGTGTTAAAAATATTTTACCAAGTGTTGCAACTATTGTTTTGGGCAAAGAGTATAAAAAAAGAAATGTCTGGCTTGTTGCCCCCACCTCCTCCTCTCTATCTCCTATCTGTATGTCCCTTCACTACCATCACCGCCACAGGAAGGCCCTGGCAGCCCGAAACACTGATACTATCTCTGCGCTCCTCATCTCCGTCCTCCACTGTGTTGAAATCTTGCCCATCCCACAAAGGGAAACCGCTGGTGCACAACGGTCCATGGCATGACGTCCGTTTCTGTGGGTAGACAGCTTATGGTAAATAATGTGGCAGGTGCACGCCATGTTCCCAGGATGCAGTGGAGAATTGAGAAAAATTATGCTTAAATGTAGATATGGGGGTTTTATCAACCATTATGTGTTGTTTAAAGCTGCACTGCACTATAATCAAAGCTTGGTGGTTCTGCATCTATAAAGGCTATTTGAGGTTTAATATCCAAAGGAGTGATGAAATATACTTGGTAGATTTGTTTATTTTTGCGTTAGAATTGGAATTAAACATAAGGGATTCAAAAAGACAATTGCACAAGCTCAAGCAATTATGTGTTTATTTCGGAAAATATTTGACAAAGTATTGCTTTTACAATGTATTACTATAAAATTACAAAACACATTCAACAACATTAAAGATTATATTTTTACATATTATTTAAACATTGTTTCAAGTAATCCCACACACTTATTTAGTGACAAAAGATAGAGTATTATACAGAGAGGGACACTTCGATTTCATTGAATCCCCTACAAACCACAGGTTCTTGTGTAACCTTGTTGGGCAACAACACTTACAATCATCTCTGACAATGACAAGAAGTGGCAGGTAGATGATTAGGCAATGTTTGTTAAATCAAATCATATAACAAATCCAGTGGTCTTCTTTATGAAGGGTCTGTGAGGATTATATGCATGTTTTAGGAACTTTTAGGAAAGTTAATTTGGATTTGGCTAAATTGAACCTTCAGGACTTCTTGTTTCTGGGCCCATTTGTGCAATCTTTCAGATTTTTAGATCTACAGTACTGCACATCAACATCTCCTTAAAATCCTTACCCCCATCTCACAAATTCTGTTTTACAATCTGCACAGACTCAATAAAATTTTCCCTGCACTCTCCAATCTGTTCACTTGCAGTTTAGAATATGCAATGGCTTCTACATTCAAACCCACCACACATCTTCCTACTTTATATTGAGACTCCAAGCCCCTTTTTCAAAAAGTTCAGGTGCTTTATTAATCTCTTCAAAGCTCCAGTGTGCAGGGCCCTAGACACACAAGTTCAGAAATACTTAGGTCATGAGTGAGTCTCCTCTCACACAGAAAATTGCGACCAGATAGCAAACTAGCAACTACATCAGTTATCTTTTGCTGTAGAATGCCTGTAAATTGAATTTCTCGCTGTGATACATTGTTTTAAAGCCTAATCCACGTTGCCAAGAATTTAACTGACCATTCGCTAAATGCCTGCCACCAGAACCGACAGTCAGATTTAGCTTAGCAACCATAATAAGTAGGCATGAAAGGCCTGTCAAGCTTTGGATGTGAGCATATGGGGAAAAAAGCGATCCTTTATCTTAAGTATTAATTATCTTAAGAGTTTGGTTTTGTCTATTTTTGGCCTGTACAAAACCAAGACCTTCAGCTGCATGTCTGTCAGCATGTTTAGCTGACTGGCTTACTACCAACACTCTGGGAAACTTTGGAGCATGGGGTTAAATCAGAAAAATATCTGTTGAGGACTGGGACATCCACTTGTTTGAAAGAGAGTCAGCTGGAAACATTAAAAGGTCAACTGCAACTTAATGGGGTTTTCCCTGTGGCATTAGCTTGCACTAGCTACCTAACGCTGATCAAATCTGCCATGGGCAGTCGTCATTTCGGCAGACTGAAGCCCACAGTTGTCAGCTGGAAATGAGAAGCTGCTTTCTTTTACTTCTGTGTGAAACTGAAGACCCACTGTTTCAAAAAATTACAGCAAATTTGAGTGTTATCTGCCACCTTTATCAACATAAACTGTACTGTGCGAGCACAGAGAGCTTAACAGGAATTCATCAATTGTAGAATGTAAACTCCCCCCTGGTTGCATTACCATGAAAATGTAAAGAAAAGAGACAGAGGACATGACCTCAGTGTCCTCAGTGGTTGCTACAGCTGTGCCAGCATGCTTTCTCCCTTCACAGTTATACAGTATGAAACTATAACTAAGCCCTTTTACATCCTCACAAACTGCTTCATTTTCAAAACTCCTCTCCTTTTAAATGTGACTTTTTCACAAATTGTTGCCATTTGGTAAATGATTTGACTGAGTCCCAGAGGCCTGCCTAGACACCAGAAATGCTTCTGAGGCCTTCAATTAGACATTAATGACAGGTACAGGGTCTAGATACCAGACTCCCCTGCTGCTCCCTCCTCACTTCCATGCAGGTGGCGCTGTGACAGGATGTGTTTGAGAGTGTCCAGCTCCTGTGTCAACTGCCCTATTCTCATCTGCAGCTTCTGGTTTTCCTCCTGCAGCTGCAGGGCCCTCTGCTGGGTCAGCTGGATCCTCCTGCGGGCCTTGTCCCGGCTCTTTCTCACAGCGATGTTGTTCCTCTCGCGTCGCAGGCGGTACTCTGCACTGTCCTTGCTGATGCTCCTCTTGTTTACTGGGGCCCGCAGAGTTGGCAGGAGAAAGGAAGAGAAGTCCTGGAGGTCAGAAACACAAATATGTTTAAGTTGTGGGGAAGCAGGATGAGAGCAGATCAGTGTTAGGCTTTTCCCACTCAAAGAAGGTATTCTTTAAAAAAAATCTATCACCCACAAATATCTATTTCACAAACACAAACCTGCTGATTGTTGGAGTGGCTCTGGTGGTGGTTTGTGCTCCCTACGCTCGAGGTGTTGTTGAGACAGGAAGACGTGTACGGCAGGTAAGATAGTCCCATCATCTGCTCAGCCATTCTGTCGTCACAGGCCCCCCTCACCAGGCCCTGAGATTGGCTGTACGGTATCATGTCCATCTGAGCCAGCTGGTTGGTCGATCCAGCAAGGTTGGAAGTGGTAGGGTTCAGGGTCTGGGTGTGGACCTGACCCGGGTATGAGCTTGCCCACTCCTGGATGACAGAAGACACTCTGGAATCAGACATCTGGAGGGGTTTGGAAGCAGAAAAAGATTAGTTAGGTTTTCTTTTTTTAAATTTAATTTAGCTCTATGCTACTTTATTTTTCTACTTCACTATATTTCAGTGGTACATATTATACTTATTACTCCATTACATTTATCTGACAACTATAGTACCTACTAAGTTACTTTGCACTAACTACAACAGCAAAAAGCTGCTTACATACTATTGTCCTGATAATAAGCAATAATCAAAAATAATATATGCTTATTTAACTCCCTGAAAGGCGTCATTCTGCTGTATATTGTGAACTTTCAATTTTGTACATTTGGCTGAAAATACCTCTGTATTTTTACTCAAGTAAGAATTCATGACTTTTTACTCACAACTACAAGCAAAAACAAAAGAATAAGAGATTCAGCGGTTCCAGTGTCAGAAATGTGAACATTTGCTGGTTATTTTAGTCTTCTATGATAGTAAACTTTGGTTGTTTAGGTATTGCACTGCACAAAACAAGTACTTTCATTATATAAACCTTATTTTACATTTTATAGACCAGACAAGTGTCAATCAATCAATTGAGACAATAATCAGCATATTAATTGACTATGAAAGTAATTATTAGATGCAGCCTAACATTAACGCAAAACATACAGCAAAGAAAAAACAATCTGCACACTATTGGAATATTAATTCTCAGGAATTCTTTATCTTCATCATATCATTTGAGAATATTGTTGTGAGTGTGAATATAGTTGTAACCTATATTTATGCAATTCCATCTTTAGTCTTCGTCTCTTCTCTTTATATCTATCTGCACAGTATCAAATAAAGCAGAAATTGTATATTTTCTACAAACTCAAAAAAGATATCCGGCAGGTCCAGTTGCCCTTGAGTTTAACCTTGCTTGGATAACTATGACTGGGATGACTAGAACCTGCACAGACAAACACAAAACAACTCCTCATCTTACTCAACTGCTTTTTGTTCAGCAAGCTAAAAAAACATTTGGTACTGTTGTTCCAATATAACTATAATAGAAATGTCAAACAGCCTCTGCTTTAAATTCTAGGGGTCCGTGGCAGAACCCTATTTGTTTAATATCTGCCTGCATTTCTCCACACACTAAAAAAGTTATTATCAGACTTACCATGACTTAGCGCTCCACAAACTCTGAATATTCTTCAGGTTCCTCAGAAAGTTTGACTGAAAATGATGTGAAAGACAGGAGACAGACAGGTAGGCCTCCCCTCTGTTTATATCACCATCACTTCCTCTTTATCTATCTCTCGCTCTCTTTTCTCTCTCTCTCTCTTCATTTCAAAACTAATTCTGGGATGAGGGAATTCAGCAGCTTTCAGCAACAGGTCACATTGAATAAGAAGAAGTCAGAATCACTTTAATTGGCCAGATATGTGTACACATACAGGACATTTTTACATTGCTCTCAATGTACATACAAAGATACACAGGTGTGGATACATGTTGTTTTAGGTATTTCAATGTACATGAGGTAGGAGATGTGATATATAGGCCCACAGTATAAGAACAGCATGCAGACATATATTTTTGTTGATATTTGATGTTATATTTGATATCTATGATTAAAATAAGAAACTCAATTACAGCAATAAAAAAATTAAGAGTAAATAGTTCACAGATGAAGCAGATGTTAGAGGCACAGGCCCGTGACACTGTGTCAGCAAGACAGATAAGAGTTAATAAATATATAATAATAATGCATATTGTTTAATAGCTGTCCGTTATTTTCCGTTTAATTGTAACACTGTAGCAGTAGCCTACAGGATGAGCTCCAGTGTCTCAACACCGCAACGTTGTAGCGGGCAGAACACCCAAGCGCTGTGACTATAGTCCCTCTACGGCATCCGTAGGTTACATTTGAATCAAAATGGCTTCCCTTATTGACAACGTGAGTACAGCTTGGCTAGCTGCTAGTTCATAAAACATTTATTTTATCTTTCTCCGGTGTTTCTTAACATTGTATACCATTCTTATAATTGTGTGTGTGTGTATTCTGAAACAGCCTATGAGAGATTGATACAAGGGAGTGATAGTAGTTGTTTTGTTAACGACGTTAGCTAACTTACCTTAGCCTTTCTAACGTTACTAACATGACCCACATTTTACTGTCACGTTAAATAAAAGGTGCCAGCAGTTTTATCATTGTTTTTCTGACATGTAATTTTACTTTCTGACAGAATTTAATTGAAAGTGATTTGCCCAAAGCTGTACAGCTGCTGAATAGTCTCACAGAACAGGTAAGTTTATGAATGGAGAGATGGTGAGTGCTTTTGTGTGAGTAAAACTAAAGTAAGTAAAACTATACGAAGTCATTCATAAGCACGCTTAGATCGCATGGTGACATATCACAGTATAGCGTGCTTCTCATAATCTTGTTCCAAAATTTTCTGTTGATTGATTATCAAGTGACGGTGTCTCTATCACCATCCCCATGGTGATGTGTTGTTGTTTTTTTTTTTTTTTTTATCACGGTCACTTTCACCACAGCTGAAACACCCTTTGTCGCTCTTCTCTTCAGGTGGCCTCAGTTACAAGTCACGTCCGTGAGCTGCTAACACAAGTCAAAGATGGGGCATTTAAGACCTCTAAGGTGAGCAGAGACTTGATCAGAAATGTTAATGTTAGCCCGGATTGTCAATTTCATCTGGGCCTAGCAGGCCCAAAGCCCCATTTACTCATTTGCTTAATTACACATTTGTTCACTTAAGTACAGAATCAACTAAAATTCGGTCCATGTGTCATTATTACCTGATTTTATTGCCCCTGTGTTGTTAAACTGGTTCTTAAGATGTTTTTTTCTTCAAATGTTAGAAGTGTTAATCTCTGGTATACAGTTAGTTAGATAGTTTTGACACATGTGGATACACTGCAATGTGTTTGATTCATTGGCTCTTGCCTAGAGTCTGTGTAATGTAAGTTGTAGCCATGCTGTCCAGATTTCTAAAGATTTTTCATGTTTTTGTTTGCCCAAAACTTCAACTAGAATGAATATAACTTGTGTAAACATTTGTTTGTTGTTTGTTTACCATACCGGTAAATCTGGATTTTTTTAAAATGTGAAATTAACTGTACGAATGAATTGTGGAGAATCTAACCGATCTAATGATGTGCAGCATGTCCACATCAACAAAACTTAACATTTATATTTATATGCACAATCTAAGCAGCTTAGAACTAGCTCAAGCAGGCGACCTGTTGGGGTTTAAGAGGTTTTATACATTCAGAGAACTTCTATAAAAACCAGACCAGGCTTCTATTTGAGACCTGTGTTTATTTATCAAAACATGGAGCCACACCAGGCCAGTAAAAGAGACAGGCGTCCAATTGAGAATTGGAACAAACTCTGACTCTCCGTCTGTCTCCTCTCCCTGCAGGGTTTGTCTTTCTTGGACCTTCGGTACCACCTGCTGCTCTTCTATCTTCAAGACCTCACTCACCTGATCGCCGTCAAAACAGAAGGAGGCAAAATAAAAGACAGCGACGCCTTGAACAGAGTCGTCACAATCAGAACGGTGCGATGACTGTAGATACAGACAGCGGATGATAAAATAGTTTATTCTTATCTTTATCCAGCTGGCACAGCGTCTAATCAGCTTTCCATCCTGCTTTTAAGGTGCTGGAGAAGATGCGACCGCTAGACCACAAACTCAAGTATCAGATTGATAAACTTGTGCGCACAGCTGTCACCGGCAGTTTAGGTAAGACTAATTTGATATTGGTGGTGATGAATGCATCCACCAATAATCTGATAATAAGCATTCTATGAAAGAAATGAGCTATAGGACAAATATTAGGCTTGTGGATCTGGAAGATATCCTCCCTCCCATGTTTCACAGGCTTCGGTATAAAACACTGTCTCATGAATTTTGTTGATTTCAGCTGAAAATGACCCCCTGCAGCTGCGTCCTAACCCTGAGAATCTTATCAGCAAAGTAAGGGCAGAATATCGTGCTCATTTGAATCCCTCTTTTTATTCATGTGGAAAAGTTGATCATAAATTAACTTTATTGATTGAATGGATCATCCTAAAACCTGTAATCCTAACAAAATGGTATTACTTGTATGTGATTGCTTCAAGACATTTAAACAATGTAAATACTGAACATACAGTATTGTACTGTGTGACTGATTTTCTGTATTTGCTTTATCAACCAGCTGAGTGAATCTGAGGAGTCTGAAGGCGAAGATGACAATAAGATGGCCACAGAGAAGAAAGCAGCCCACCCTAGTGGCAGGAAATATGTACCGCCAAAGATTGCCGCAGTGCATTATGGTAATGTAATTTGCCTTTTTAAGCAGTTTTTTTGCTTGTCATAAAAATACTACTAAGTTCTGCCTTTAGTAGTCATCTGATTAAAGAGGGTAGATTTCTCTTCTTTGGAGTATTTCTGTGGAATTACATTGTTTGGAATGAAGCAAGCAGCGCACCTCTTAGCAGCTGCTATGCATCTTTTTCATTTAGAAAATGCTATCTACCTCCTGTTGTTCACATGCATCATAGATAAATAAAGACCCCCCATGAATTCTCATCTCAAACCCGTTTCCTCCAGACGGTGACATGAGCGAAGCAGACAAGAAGAAGGCCCAGGCAGAGCGTCAGCGGCGGGCTGCCCTCAGGAGCTCTGTGATCCAGGAGCTGAGGCAGCAGTACAGTGACGCTCCGGAGGAGATCAGGGACAGGCGGGACTTCCAGAGCGAGCGGGAGAGCCGCGATGAGCTGCACAGGTGTTTTGCTTTATCTGAACAGACACGTGGAGGCTGATAGGTGGTGGGATGAGATGCAGGAAGTGTTATCAAGAGGGAGAGGGAGTGGGGATCGGGCGTAGTGCAAGACAGTTGGAATATATTCATGACTTGAATATTTAATGAGGTCTATAACGTGTTAAATCTGGGAGAAGTTTTACAGATATGAGTGTCCTTCAACAGAAACTTTTTTTTTTAATTTATAGGAAACATTATGAGGAGTCGATGATGGTGCGTCTCAACACGCCAAAACGCCAGAAGAATGGCAAAAAGAGAGGCGTGATGGGCATGTTTGGCCAGTTGAGCGGTATCACACACTTCAGTGACATCAGCGCGCTGACAGGTGGCGAGGGTGGGCAGGTGAGCTGGCAGTAACATCTTTACACCAACCTTTCAGTAAAGGGCTCATATTTCACTCACTGAGACTGAAACACTACTGTTGGTGAAAATCTAAAGCTTTTGTTCAGACGTATGAAAATCTTTTTCAGTACCCCTTCAGTTTGGGTTTTAGAGAGGAATTTTTGGGGGAGTTGGGGTTAAGTAGAGCAGGAATTTCAGGCTCTGATCAAGCAGTAGACAGGCTGACCTGAGCTCAGGAAAGGCCACATTATTTATATTAATTATTATACAACCTGGGCTGCCACCGGCACATAATTAATATTGGACAGAACCTGTCTGCTGAGTGTTTTATTACATTTGTGTATCGTGCGACTCAGTTGTCTGGTGCTGTGCTGGCAGGGCTATTTGCAAGTTACACTTTGTGCCTGCACAGGTTTGGCGTCCCTCTCTGTGCCGTTTCCTTTCTGAAGTCACTGACGGCTGTCATAAAAAGTACTACTGAGAGCCAACCTCACTCAGATGTGGAAAATTCATTTAGCTAAATGTATTTAAGATGACTTAGAAAATCCATGTGCTATGTTTAGATTTTGTGTTGGACACAAGAAGCCACTATAGGATGCTGCTAACAGTATGAATGGGAGCATTGTGGCTTGTTTTTATTTAGATCACATCCTCAATGCAGCTGCTGTTTCTTACACTTTGTCTTGTCCACAGGACGGGGATAACCCTCGACCAAAGAAAAAGAAGAAACTCATGAAGAAGACAACCAAAAGAAGAGGTGAGGAACTCAAATACACCACAGTACAAACTCACTTTTTAAAAACTAATTAGGGTCAATTAACGTAAACACTCTTTCTTCATCGTTATGTAACTGTCCAAAGAAGTACTCCAGCGTTAGCTGTTTGCAATTAGTTTACCAGGACTGTGCAATAGGGGTAGTTCTTTCAGTTTATAGAAAACTCACATTATAGATCCAACTAATCAAAAAATTATTCATGTGTTATGTGATTAAAAAACATTTTCAGTCTTTAAGTTGATTCAGATGAGCACAAGTTTACAACTATACATTACTGAGAAATGGAATTAGTAGTTAAACTTCTGTGTTTCATGTTATTAATCACCTGTGTCCTTTTCTGCAGCTTTTAAGAAGCACAGATAGACCAAATGACTTGAAGACGATTTCTGAAGAACTGCAATCATTCAAGTTCTTAATTTGAAGGATTTTGTTACTAAAGTTAGTAGTACTACAGTAATGAGCCTTTTCCATTCACTTTGTGGAATAAACATTTCCTGTTGACTTTATATTTTCATTTCATGTTTTATTTCTCCATTAGAGGGCAGTCACATTGCCTCTTTATCAGAGGTGACAACAGACCATCAATTCAGACAAACACTGGCATTTAGAGCACATTCCTTTCTTGTATCATTAAATTAACCCTTTGTTAGCAGAGCCATGATGGTGTAGAAGTCATTTTAGGACAGTCATTTAATTACAAGTATTGGTTGACCTGCAAAGAAACACATTCAGTTCAGTTTGATCTACACTCTTGGGAAGCAGCCAGATGGAGAATAGATCAGAACAAACTCACACAGACACAGCATCATTTTTACACAATGTCTTTATTTTTTTATTTTTTTTCCTAATTACAGACTCATGGGTTAAAAAAAAAGCAAAACATTTGTTCAAACCCACTCCCCTTTTTCTTCAAAGAAAAAAAAAAAAAAAAGTCTCCACACAAACCCCACCCCTGACTTTCCCTGCCCTAAAATAACAGCTCCGGCCCACTCCATTTATTAAATTAATAATCAATGCCGTTAGCTCTTTAGCCTTCCTCAGACAAGCCGTGACTGCACTGCGCGTAGTCAGAGAAAGGGGGCGCCTTAAGGTCCGCACTGTACACCCCAATAAACACCCTTGTCTCTGGTCCTGCCTTCCTCACTCTCACGCAAACTTGCCTGCCTGCCACTCAGCTATGTTGTGTTGGCTTCAGCTCTCTGTATATAAATCATGTGTTGGGTTGGCTGCCTGTTAAGTGCCGCCTGTACTGCAGTGTTCTGTGGTGCATGTTGAACAGGTGTGTGTGTGTGTGTGTGTGTGAGAGAGTGAGTTGACGTGTGAAAAGGGACTAAAAGCATCATCAGCGTTTGCTGTTGTAGTAAATGCCCCCCGCGGCGGGCCTGTGGTCACCCTGCCCCCCACCCCCGCCCCCCCACACGGACAGGATGGGGTGAGTGTGCATAGCGGGAGCAGAGAGAGAGAGAGACGCTGCGGAGACAGTGGGGGGGGCCGGCGCCACCTGGGGAGGGGTCGTCAGCCTCCACTGGTCCTGAAACCTGAAACGACAAGAAGTGGTCTAATATACAGAGAGAGGAGGGGGGGTGGGGAAAGGGGAGGAGGAGAGACGGAAGACAAGGAGCACAGAGGGGAGGGTGGGAAGAAGGTAGGGGAGGTTGGGAAGGAGGTGGGATGCAGGGGTAGCACGAAATAAAAACATTGATGCCTGTCAAGGGTATAAAATAAGCTTTGGCCATGCCTGAGTTGGAGGTGACAGGTATGGACGAGCGGCGGGGGAGGTGGCAGCACAACGAGGAACCCCGCTCATGTGAAAACAAAGAAAAAAAAATCTATGCATGTACAATCCCACTGAACACTGAAGCTCCATCACTGTCCACAGAGCAGCGGACAGCGAAAAACAATCCATGGTGTGATGAGCCGAGGAGGGGAGGAGGGGAGGGGGAACGAAGAAAAAGCATGGGTTATAAAATGCAGGGAGGGGAGGGGTTGAAAGGTGCAGAGAACGGCGGACACAAAAGGGGTTGAGGGAGGGGGGAGGGATTGGTAGGTAATGATATACTCCAAACCACAAACTTAAAACACAACAAGTACTCTGGCTAGTGAAAGTTTCACATATGTACGGTACATTAAAAAGCAAAAAAAAAAATAATAATAAATGAATACAGTATCTTTTCTTGTTGCTGCCCCCCCACCCCCACTTTTTTTTCTCTTGTTTTGGTGGTTGAGGGTGAGTGGGTGGGCTGTGTTGGTGATGGTGTGAAAGCAGGAGGTCACAGCCAGACCAAAGGAGACACATCTGCAGCCTGAGATACCATCTTCTCGCTCTCTTTTTTTTTTCCTCCTTTTTTTGCCCCCTCCCCGCCCCTCAAAACCAACAACAAACAAATGATGAAATCTGCCACCGTTATTCTTTCCCCAATGGCCAACTTATACCTTACCAGGGGGTGACCGCATCAACCTCCGCACACGCACGCTCACACACAATCTCACACTGCGGCCAGTCAGTCTCTCTGTCCAGGAGAAGTGTTTTTTTTTTCTTTTTTGTCTTTTTTTCTCTCTTCTGGGGCTCTTCTTTTATTGTTGGGGAAGGGAGAGGAAATTTTTTTTCCCCCCACTGTGTGTGCTTTTTTTTTTTTTTTTTTTTTTTTTTTTTTTTAAATGGGAACAGAGAGGGGAAGAGGTTTGATAGTAAGGGAGTGTTGGGGGGGGGGGGGGGTTTAGTAAGGGGAATACCACGATGTTGTTCGCCCTCGGCCCCTGGAAAAGAGAGAGAAAAAGAGGGTGAGTTTTTTTCTGGTTGGCTTAAAAAGACGGACACCAATTTCCTGGTGTGATATAATATAGTGTATGTATGATTGTGGGCAGAGAAAGGGTCTGCTGAAATTTCAGTCCAAGAAGTAAACTGGAAGGGGGGGGGGGGGGGGTTATTGGTATGTATATAAAAATGAATGACAGAAAGTTTAGGACCGTGTTCACAAATCACTGAATAGACATACCATCTTAACGGTATGGTGCCTTTGATTAACAAGGTAAACAAATAAATCTGGAAGAAGGGACTACAGTGTTGAAAGAAGCTGAAAGCAGCTTTGTCAAGAGAGGAAAAGTGTTTAACTTCCAGATGTTAGAATAATAATACTAAGTGTGTGAGTGTGAGGGGACAGCAAAGGCACTCTCTCTCCCTCTTTCTCTCTCTCTCTCTGCGAGAGCCGCCTCTGGGGTCACTGTGGGGAAAGACCTTGAGGACAAACAGCACCACACACGTACCCCCAGCCACAACACGGTGCACGTACATATAGACACACACACACACACACACACACACACACACACACACACCCCAATTTGGGGGCGGACACAACTCACAGCTGCAGCATTATAATACACTCAAACACTGCCCAACACATACACAAACGCCAGGTAGCAGCAAACCTTCCACACACACACACACTCCACCTTCTCACATCAATCAGTGGCAACACAACACAAAAAGAGGTCACACTGGGACTGAAACCAGTAGGCATTAGGATAGATGCTGAGGTCAGGCTGCAGTAATGAACCCTCGTTTCTGGGCGTGAGCGCTGTAAAGGTAAATCTGAGTTTGTGTGTGTGTGTGTGTGTGTGTGTGTGTGGGGGGGTTAATGTACATGCAAGGACACACATAAGCATAATAAAAAAAGGTTCTTCCACATCATGAGTACAGTATGCGTGTCTTCTGGCTCACATCAAAATCTTTGCTTTTTACCATGCCAACTTGGGAAGATGACTCCAACAATGCTGTTAATGGATGTAATCCCAGACGCCAATTTCTTAAGGGCATGTAAACTTTAAATTCTGGCAGATGTTGCTCTGTTTTAGCCTGTGCAGACAACACTTGCCGAGGCCTTGTTAAATCTGAACTTCTTATAAAGAAAGCCAATCAACACTTAGATACTTTATTAGAATGTATCTGTTGGACTGTGATTGCACGGCCGTAGCCAAGAACTGTGAAATCCTCCCAAGCACACAAGGGGTCAATGCAAAGATTCTGAACTCACCATGTGTTTTTCTTCACCATGGATGTGTTCCCGCAACAAGACAAGGCACCAGTGAAAAGTGCAGCTCAGGTTCAGATCTGAGTCTGATTCTGTTCAAGTGCAGTGCGGTCTTAAGTAGACCAGTGATGAATTCCTGATGTAGGGACCAAACAGCCCTTCTGCTCTCCTCTGCGAGAAGTGATCAAGGCCAGTTCAAGTGGAACAATTCTCTGCATGCTATTCTCTGTGGGTGATTATTACATATTAAACACTGCCGTTAGATAATGGGAAGAAGATACACTATGTAGCTATCAGTAATACCCTTGAGGGTGTTTTCTAGATTGAGTTCAGCCACGGCAGTCATATTACTATTTCATGACCTTGGAACTACCAGGTTTAAATCCGACTGACTGGACAACATACTCAAAACTGTACTTTTTTTCTTGCTGTTCTGTTGGATAGGGGTGTGAAATCTTACTTTCATGATCACATAACTACAAATCAGCCAGACAGAACTTTCAAGATCAACAATCATGTCTTACCTCTGCATACAAACCAACAAGCCGACTTTAAAGCAGTTAAAAGTCAAATGCAAATAATGCTTAGTGTTTCAATAAATTATTTGCCAATAAAATACCCATTAGTATCAGTACTTTCAGCTCATGGAGACTTGATTTAAGCCCGGTCTTTGTGTGCCTTGTCCTGCAGCTCGGGCCAAATCCCAGCGAGTAAACTGGCAGGGTTAGGGTTTCTTGGTATGTGTGGGAGTGGCTGGAGTAAGTACACAGAGTGATTAGAGAGATTCTGACCTTGTGGTTCAGACATTTTCTCACACAAAGGAATGAGCAGAGATGTAACCCTTTCTTGTGGTTATCTAAAAAGGGTAGACTCGTTGAAATGTAAGGCTGCAACTCATGATTATTTTCGCAGTCGACTAATCTGTTATTTATTCGATTAGTCACAATTATTTTAGTCACCCTCTTAACACTAACCCTAATTCAATCATTTAACTAATTAAATCTCTTTCAAATGAATTACTGATCTCAAACACACAGCCTAACTAGCTAACGTTACCATTAAATGAACGAGGTGTTCATTCTGAATAGTAAACCAGTATTAACGCCAGGGGTAAACCAGGGAAGATGCCTAGACAGCATAGGCTACTCCTATAATTCACTGAGTTATACTAACTTTTAACTTTTCAACAAAGATTTTTGCTTTGGAACTATATAAAACAAAAGCAAATTAAAATCAAGTACTATAACCACAACTGTACACTAACAATGTAATGTCTATTTAGAATAATAAAGCAATAGTCCTCTTTCATACTACTACTGTAGTTTATTTTTCCAATGTGCTTATTAGTTTTAAGCTATATGCAGATAATGTTCTGTAGGCTACATCACGAGCCAGAGGTTTCTTGATTTACTTGTTAAAATGTTAAACCATTACTCAGATTGTAAAGACAGAATAACTATCTTTCAGTTGTGGCC